AATAATAAAATGTTATAAAAGTATATTTGTATTCAAAGCACATCCCGTTTACATCGGTCTCGAAATAATAGACGTGAACGCCATTAACGACGCCGAAAATGTAAGTCTTCTTTAATATCTTATATTAATTTTATTGATTATATTTTAAGTCTTCATTAAATAGTCTTAAGATTTGCTGATTTATTACAACAACAAATTGATTTTATTTTGCGTGTCGTTCAGCGCTTAAATTTATCTTATTTTTATTCATTTGCCATACATTTGATGCCAAAATATTTTTGTTTAAAATAAGTACCGTAATACAAGCAATTTATAAATATTTTTCAATAAAACAAAAATTATTTGAAATGTCGACAAAGCAACTGATGGGATAACTTTAATGATGGGTTAATTTTAAAACAAATTATGACTTTGGTTTAAATATTGGTTTTATAATGTCTTCCAAAAATGTTTTAATAGGCTTGTGATCTAAATGTGATATTTTTTATTTTATAGTATTTTGCACTTCAATTGTATTTATTTGAAGTGTGGAAAGACACCCGACTAAATACATCTCAATTGGATGACAACTCATTATCGGTTCCCGAAGAATATTCCTCATGTTTTTGGACGCCTTCTCTAGTATTCGACGGAAGCACTCAAAAGGAAGCAATACTTCCACCAAATTCTGTCATCAAAATACTTAAAAACAATATTTTAATCAGAAAATCAAGGTTTGAATTAATTTATTGTTAAAATATAACATTTAAAGTACATTATAGAAGGCTATAATGAATATTCATTACCATGAAAAGTAAAAATATAGTACAATAAATTGACCTCTTTGTTATTTTTGGAAATTCAATGCATTCATACCTATATTTTATGTTAATTCTTTAGGTTTTCATTTAAAGTCAGTTGTCATATGAATTTGCAAACATATCCAATGGATAGGCATATCTGTCACTACAGTATCCGGACGTGTCAGTGATTTTTATTACCTTTTGATATTCAAAGCAAAATGTTTCACTAATTATCACAAACTTTAATTACTTTGATTACAATTTAGTCTCCGAACCCATTGAAAAAGTGAGCCTTCATTGGATTGAAGACAAGTCGAGTCCTATAGACTATTTGCTGGATTCGGAGCAAAACAAAAGTGTAATCTATAAGAATGAATTCACGCCATCATTATTTGACATAGAGATCGGCAATTATGAAAGACATATCATTAAGTGGTTTAACGAAAACTATACGGTTCTGGACCTGGAGTTCATATTTGAGAGAACCATAACAGCAAATGTGTTGACGGTTTACATTCCCAGCTCTTTAGTGGTCACTCTGTCGTGGATTCAGTTCTGGTTTGACGTCGAAGCGGTTCCCGGAAGAATGGCTTTGGGTTTGTGTTCATTACTTTAGTTTACCTATACTGTAGATCTTAACCAATAAACACAGACACTAATAGATGTGATAATAATCGCCAGGAATTATGTCGACACTGACTATAATGACACAAATCCTCACTAATTATGAGAAGGCGGCGAATCACGTGACGGCGGTTGACATTTGGCTCCTGGTGTGTCTGATTATGGTATTTCTGGCTCTAATGGAGTACGCGTTCGCCTACACTATGTCTCACTATTACGATATCGACGGCAATCTTAAGGCCAAGAATTCATTCAAGAAAAATATGAGTCTAATTGTGAGGGAATTTCGTTCAACGAAACACAATTCACATCACAATAAGAAGTCGACCGAAGAAAACAATTTGTTTAAAATAGTGACCGAAAACACAGTTCCCGACAATAAGGAGAATAGTTGTGAAGAAAGGATGAGATCTATGACTGAATTATCGGAAATAATTCGCTGTTTAGTGAAATCATTCAACGAAATGAATGTCAGATTAGAGGCTAATTGTAAATGCAATCGACACTTAAATTTAGTCGATTATATCAGTAGATATGTATTTCCAGTCGTGTTTGTCTTATTTGCAATAATTTATTGGTTTTTATTAATACATTTTTACGACACCTCTTAGCGATGTGTTCATTACTTTAAATGCATTTTCATTGTAAATACGAGTTAATTGTAAATAAAAGATATAATTGTTTTTAGTTTAAAACACAACCCCTTTATTTATTACTAACTTTTGGATATAAAAATATACTTATTCTTAACCTCATGTGACTTTAGCTCATTATAAAGTCTAGATTTTGTTTACGAATATTATATACAAATTTTTAAATTCCTATGCATTTGAGCGTTAAGTAACTACTGATACAAAATGCGGCAAAAATACTTTTTTCTCGTGTTAAACCGTGTCATAAACTAAAATATTTTTGTTTTGAAAGTGTTGTAATCGGTTCCCAAACTTTGAAATTTTGCCAATAATTTACTTCAAAAATGACATATTTTTAAGTCAAGCACTAAATCCAAAACAAACCTCAAAACAAACAAGAATTTTGATTAAAGAATACATTGTTTTTGATGTCAATTCGTTTATTACATGTGAACAAAAATATACCGCAATTTTTTGATTTTATCAGTAGTGGGCGTAGGGGTTAAGTGTATGATCTAGATATTTATTGTTTACTAATACATTTTTGCGTATTGGCAAATGTATTGAGAATATATATTTCATTACCATAAACATCATTTAGCAGTCAATGTTTGCAAATTTTTACAGTAATTATTACTTAAACTTCAATCGATTGGTTTCCCTCCCAATGCCAGCCCTTGTATTTGAGTTGATTTTATTTGTTTTTGATCTAAAAATATCCGAAATTTCAAATGTCAGGCATTTCTTAATTACGAAACTTATATGAATGACAACACAAAACATCTTTTAACAAGATGTGTTTCGCAATATTTAAAGATTTTAGTATCGTTTAAATTTTATATTATTGTATTTTTAGATTTATGAGATCTGTTATGTGCTATAATTTCAAGAATTTTCAGCGTTTTCTAATTTATATATAAATTTCATATAAATTTAATGTATAATAATATTCGCTAAATTAAATAAATAATTACATGGTAGACATATTTGAAAGTAATTTATTTTAGAAGTTAAAAAACTATTAAAACAAAGTTATCCATGAATTCTGTGAAAACATTTTGAGGGAATATTTATCTAAATTGATACCAAAATTTAATATCGTTTACAAAGCTATTGATTAAATTGTTTACTACTTTTCAAACCACATTAAATCGTTTATTGAAAAACTAAACTATATTTTATTATAATTTAAATATTATAAACATTAACTTAAAATCTAAACCAATAACAACATGATAATTAATTCTACAAATAATAAAAAAAATTACCACAACTTTTTTTTTTATATAACTTGGATAAAAATCTAATATCTTTTGCAAAAGTATTTATTTCATAGCCTTTAGAGAGTTGTTTGGGAATGAAGTCAACAAACATATACTTCCGTCGAGTATTTTCTTGGATGGCATTTGTATTGAATGTATGGAAAGGGACGGAATTTGTGACGAAATTTTTACATCGCTTTTGCGATAAACAAAATCCGAAGTATAAAAAGCCTTTGATTTGAAGCGTCGATATTGAAGTCAAAGTATCCGAAAATGAAACAATTTTTTCTATTCACTACACTTTTATTACTTTTTACATTTAATTTGTGCCATAATTATCGTGTTATATCAAACACTGACCCGTCCTTTGAATGCACTCCATGTGCGCGAACCCGACTTATAGGTTGTTATAACGGCAAGTGTACGTATCGGTGCTATCGGAGCTGCAATAACGGCACCTATAGCTTCATTGGTCTGTATTTTCAACACCGAGTTATTTATAAAATTGATTAAATGTTTTGTTGCCCTAAACAGAAGCCCAGAAGTTTGTAATCGTTGGCACGAAATGAATCCAATACTTGGTTTTCTCACAAATAGACGTCGTTTACGAAAATTAGTACCAAAATATTCATTTAATGATTATATAAATAACTTACATTGTTACATTTATTTCAAACATTGATCATAATTAAATTAATTTACATACAGGCTAAATTTAATATTTAATAATTTTGTAAAAATTACATAAATGTTGTGTAGAATATTGTTTATAAAATAAGCAAATAAAATTTAAGTTACCATGTTGTAAACTCAAAATGTGTAATTAATTATTAAATTCTCTATAAATATTATATGGTAATAATTTTGATGTTTGGATCATTTTTATTGCTTAATGTTTTTTGGAGGGAAATATATAACTGTATATAATCTTATATTTTGTTTATAAATTTATATGTGATATAAAAATTATTTCTTTAATAAACAATTTATTATGATTTTTGCCATTAATTGTATACAATTATAGAAATTTTTACCTAGAGGATATATGATTATGATTAATTACATTTATTTGAATAAATTATCTCTTTTTATTTAAAATATGATTATTTTCTTTACATAGAAATATGTTATTTCAATAAATAGTTAAATAAATATTTTATTTTTGGAGAATTCGAGAATTCAATCACAAGTTTTTGTCAATAGTTTGTATTTCATAGGAATTGATAGAAAACAGGAAACTATTTATTTGAATGAAGTCTTTGTTTCAATACATATAATAAATTGCATTTAATTTCTATCGGCAATAGAACTGTCGCTCTATATATACTGTCATATAATTTAAATCATGTTTTGATCAAATGGTGAAAATAACCTTAAGATAAGTTATAATCTTGATATAACCGCCAAACATATAGCACACCATAAAGTGTTTTATACTAAAAATATGTTTATTTCTAAAAACAATAAAAATAAAAAATATGCAACAAAAAAATCAATTTAAATTGATATAAAAATACAGTAAAAAAATGCATAACTTATTTTAAATTAATGCGATAAATGGTTGAAAATGTAATTTTAAAGATTCTACAAAATTTCTAGAATATTTTGAAAACCAAATTATGCACTAATAATAGCACAAAGAGATGGGATTTAGTTCATTAACACAACAAATGGGATATTTTCCAGAAAAAGGTTTGTTTAACTCATTTTCACCATTTATATACAGATATGTGCGTCAATTCAGTCGTCTAAACAATTCACACGAATCACAACAACTTAATGTATTTTCAATAATATTCAATCGATTTAAATAAGCAGTGAGTTTTAGATCACTTAATATATAGTTTGTGTCATAATTACTTTGACAGTTAATTCACGAGTCTAGTCGTCATTGAATCTTATAATAAGGTAATGGACTTTCAATACTTATTTTAAAATATTAAACACAAATGCATTCATTAATTGCGAATTATTACAGTATATACACATATCTTATATGATTACTATCGCACGAGTTTATTAACACACATCCAATGCTTATATAAGTTATAAACAATTATTAAAATATGATCATAAAATAATGATAATACTCAATAAAAAATCTAAACATATTAAATGATGATAAAATAATAATAATTAATGTAATTTCAATTCCATAAACAAATTGATTATTGGCCTCATCATTGATATTAATATCAAAAACTAAATCTATCAAGTCAATCTTGATATAATATTTGTTCAATTGATAGTTCTTTAGTAACATTATAAACGTCTAGTCTTACAATTGTAAGCAATGCCAAACTTAAGTCATAAATTAATTCAATAAAATGTCCTTCAAGTATTAGACCTGTCTTTTAATTATTCTTCATAAATTGTATTTATTATTCAATTATAAAGTAATATTGTAAAATAGTAAACATGTAAAAATCGCTTTAATATTGGTGTTATTTGTATAAATCAAGAAAATTTTAATTTTAATAAATGTTTAATTCGAAAATTTATAGCAAACAGTAATTGAATACTATATCAATATTTGTTATCAATACATATTTTTACAACATTTTTACATTGATTAATGAATTGAATGTTGAATACATTAAAACATATTTGCTTTTATAAGTCCGTAGACTTAATGGTTAGTAAAACATAAAAACATTTGCAAAATAATCATAATATTTACATAGAAAACAGTTGATATCAAATTGTTTTTGCGTAAAATATTCAACAAAATGATAATAATTTTCAACAATTAAAATATTACAATATATTTTAGACACATTATGTCACTAACAAAAGTGTTGTTAGAGTTTTAAATGTATAGCATTTTGTGTTAACGCTTAAAAAATTGTTTTTACTGCTTATTTGCTAAAAAATCCTAAATTAATTGAAATACAATTTTGAAGATTAATAGTTGTTATCCTTGTGTAGAGGAACTAATGGTTGGATAGACAACGAGATATTGTATATTGGATCCAAAATGCATTACTTCTACCAAAACGCTTGTATCTACTGTTTAGTCGCAAAAACCACAGCCAGACGTTTGATATGATTTCCTTTCAGTTTTTATAAATAATTTTGTTTCAATTCAATTGAATTTAAAATTATTTTCCACACGTATTCTAAAAGTGCAAATATAAACACGTTTTACAACATGTCTAACAATTATGAAGTTTTCAGACACTTTGGTCTCGCGTTTCTGTTTATTCTGTTAATCAGTTCAATCAATAGGATTGAGAACTTATTGTCCGGTATTGGCTATTATGGCATCGTTTTATGGCTTTCGTGGCAATTGACTAAACTTTATCAAACTTTCTATAAAGAAACAGTCGATTCTGACCGCAAGGCTGTACTCATAACAGGCAAGTATTCAAACAATATTATATAATTCAATTTTATGTAATATATTGCGTTTAAAAATAAATTATTATTTCTAACAATAAATATCTATATATTTTAAATAAAAATTTTATGCGCTATTATTAATTAAATTTTCTTGTTTATTATTTAATTATATTTATAAGTTATAGAATTTAAATTTATTTCAAAAAGGATTCAATGCAATGACACGAGTGTTTGAAATTTAATATAACTATTTATATAAAATTAAAGTAATTTAATTATGGCTATTTACAAGTTTTTAAATCAAGAAATTATTACTTTAAAATTATTGGATACAAAATTGTGAGAATCAGACATATATTTATAATATGGAGGTCAAGGATGCGATTATCAATAGAATTGAATTAAATATATGAAATGAATTTTGAATACTTGCAAAAAATATGTGATAATCTCAATAATTATCTTATTATATAACTTTATGTTACTTTCAATTCATTGCCACTTTTGACTGATTATATTGTAGTATTAAAAAGTTAATTACATCAAATAATGTTTAAACTATTAAAAGCTAATATTATTGTTACGTTATTTTAAGAGTTTATAATAATACACAATAAAGTTATTTTCATTGATTTATAAAAATATTTGTTTGGATTAGAGTTATTGTGTATCTTTTAAATGACATAAATATCTAATAAACAAAAGTTGTGAATAAAAATAGATAAGAGTATAATAAATAGTGTAAATATATTCTTATGTGTTTGAAATGATATGGTTATCAAATATTTATGATATAATATGACTTATTATATAATATTAATAATATATAAATCCATATTCCATAGGCTGTGACACTGGGTTTGGGAACCTTTTGGCGCAACAGTTGGACTCAAAAGGCTTCACAGTATTTGCCTCGTGTTTAGACCCGGAGTCCAAAGGAGCGCAAGATTTGCTCAACAATTGCTCAAAACGGCTAAAAGTGTTAAAACTTGACGTAACCAACGATGAAGACGTGAAAGAAGCGGTCAATTTTGTCACAACTAATCTCCACAACAATAGTCAGTCCTAAACGATACCACAAACTAAATATTAAATGTATTAATTATTTTGTTTAGACCTCTGGGCGGTTGTGAATAATGCGGGAATTTTGCATTTCTTGCCCATTGAATGGGGCGAAGAGGGGGTCGACGTGTACAGCCGGCAACTGAACGTGAACGCCCTTGGTCAGGTTAGGGTGACCAAAGCCTTTTTGCCACTATTGAGAAAGACCAAAGACAGTCGTGTGATCAACGTGGAGAGTTTGGCCGGTATTTTGCATACCATATCAATTACAATCAAAATTATATAATATATTAATTGACCGAAACATTAGGTCGAATACCAATGCCGGGCATCAGTTCCTATTCGATGTCGAAGTTTGCCGTTCGGGCGTTCAGTGAGTGTCTCAGGAATGAAGTCAAACAGTTTGATATCAATGTTTCGGTGATCGAGCCCTCAGTTTATAGGTATAGTTGCGGACAATCATATCAAGTGACAGATCATGTAGAATATGAGTTAATGTATGCAATACTGACACCGGATTTAGTACCGGATTAACGGATTATAACCTATGGATCGATGACTTCCAAACCAAGTGGAAAGAGACGCCGGAAGACGTGCGGCGAGACTACGGGCCGGAAAAGTGTGATGTATTGCACGAACGGATCGATGCAGTGATGGCTACTTCTAAGGACAGGCCTCAGGAAGTGGTGGACGCGATGATCGACTCCGTGACTAACGTAACGCCTAAACCCTATTACTATGTCTATGGACTGGAGGAGAGGGTTATGACAACACTGTTGGAAGCGCTTCCGCCGCAGTTCTTCGACTTAGCGCTCAACGAAAAAATTTATTTCCCTTTAATTAAACTTTTTAAGAATAAAAACCGAATCTAATTATAATTATAATCAAAATTACTATTATATGACTCTTTTTGTATGGAATATATTATGCAATAAATTCTTATATATTTGCGATGAATAGGAGTGAATGGGACTGACATTCAGTTTGGGAGTCAATGAATTGAATGCAAATATAGTTACACCCGATTTTGGCACAGGCACATTTTAGTAGAATTTGATTTTAGCACATTTTTTACAGCACCAATGATATGCCAGAATCGGGGCGTAACTGTAATTTGTTGTAAAAAGTTTTTTCATTAGCGACAAAACGATAGCAATAATAATAATAGCGTTAGTAATGAACGAAAACAATAATAGAGTGCGGAATACAAGCAGTGAATGCATTGACTGAATGACTGGTTTTGTCAACTCATATGACTGTAAAACACGTGACAAATGACCCAAACGTTTGCGCTTTTCTCTCATTGTTTTTCACTTCTGATCGCATTGTTTTGGTTCAGACAACACGTGTTTTGACCGCATTTCTCATTAGCCGTAAATATCATTGAGTGTCACATCTCTGGACCAGACATGAAGACCCGAAAACACGACTCCGAAGACACGGCCAATAAAGTGACCAAAATGTGCAACAGATGTAAGGCTCACGACATCTCAAACCCCTTCAAAGGTATAGCCCTCCCGACCCTCTCATGTGCTCTACTTCTAACACCACTCATGTATTATCTTATATAAGGCCACACTTCGTGTCCATTCAGTGACTGTCGTTGTGTGAAATGTGGAGACTATGAGGAGAAGATCCGGCGCAAGAAAGAGAGCGTTCAGAAAATGAGAGCCTTGAAGACCGGGTCCGCCGATCCCGTACTGAGCGTCACATCCGACGGGCCATCCAATGGTCACAAGACTCCTGTGTCCAGTCGTAAAGGGGTGTCAATCGCTGAGTTGAAGCGGGCGTTCACTAAGAAACACAAAAGCGCTCAATTGAATGGCCAGCGTTTGAGAGGCCGTCGGCCCAAGAGTTCGCTCCAATCGGTTCACAAAAAGAGTGTCGTCACAGACAATGTGAATGACAACAATCCTCCGCAACTCGAGTTGATCTTACCTGAGCTGCCATTGCCTGACCCGCCATTGCTTGACCCGCCGTCACCCGAAATGGTGGACAATAACAGCCGTACGACTGAAGCGACCGAACCTGTGGTCAGTGGTTCTTCGGCCGCTCTTTGCGGCCAATATCTGAAGGCTTGCGAACAGCTGTCGATAGAGCTCGCGATGACAACACTGACACCGGAACAGATCATCGCGTGTTTGAAATACACGGCAATTCGCGACTGTTTGGGTGATATAGGAATGGCCGTCAAAAAGATCGCAATTGGTATGACATATGTCTTGCCATCAGTTTTCCACTATTAATACAATGTTTTTCATTACGTGTTGATAGCGAACCAAGAGATGAGTTTTGGCACAGCATTCAACATTCAAAACCCCATCCAATCCAATGGTGTGGTCGGCGGCGGCGGAGACACAACCGGCCGATCCAATGGACATGTGGCCAACACTAGCGCCACTTCCGCCCGTCGGCTCTGTTCAACAGTGAACGGCAACTTCAAGCCAAACGATGCGGTCAACTATAGCCCGTCTTTCACTCCCATTCGAAACAATCATTAGTTTTGAAACCAAATTCATTATTTTGATTACAATTATAATTTTGCAATTGATTTGTTCCAACTTTTGTTTAAGCCAACGATTGATCTCTTTATTTTCACTTTGAAATTATTTATTTTGATTACTATTCTTGAAGTCACTAAAAATGTTTAAATTTATATCGAAATACGAATAAAAATCTATTATTTATCACAATTAACAACAATTTATGATTAACTAATTTTTGTTCAACAAATATGTATTAAATTCTTATAAATTTATACAAAACAATGTTTTTATAAATCTATGAATAGTTTAATAACTTGTAATACAAAATGCGAATCAATTTTAATGAATGAATGATTTATCGGACGAAATCATTTTCAATTGAATTCATGATTTGTTGATCCAATTCATCGTATTTGGTGTTCAAAGGGGTATGACTTTCAGATATCACTGCAATTAAAAAATCAATTTTAATGAATGAATGATTTATCGGACGAAATCATTTTCAATTGAATTCATGATTTGTTGATCCAATTCATCGTATTTGGTGTTCAAAGGGGTATGACTTTCAGATATCACTGCAATTAAAAGTGAAATATTTGTTAAATAAGAAATTATTTGGAAACTAAATGAAGTGTTTAGTACTTGGCGTTGAAGATAATGATATGCTTCCAGGAATTTCCATTGAACTCAACTGCTTTAGAAATAGTATTTACAAATCAATTAATTGTATTAATCATTAAATTAAGTCTTAAATTAAATTAATATTAACTCGGAATGTATTTCTGCTAAATTGTCGGCCATCTCTCCCATCCCTACCATCCCTTGACTTTTGTTTTTCAAACTCAACAGCGCTTCCGATTTCCAGTCCGTGCTATAAATTCAGTACAATATAATTATCAGTTATGATACTTTAATTATAATTTAATGCATTTTTAATTGTTTACAGTATATTACGTGTATATCTGGTATAGAGGACCAGTTAAATACATTACAAGCTCTTACGGTAATATACTATTCATATTGTTATTTAAATAACTGTTTAGGTCTGGAAATTCATGTTAGTTTTTAATGTTGACATGTACTCTACTGTATATAATTATTAATATTTTAATTCGACTTAATTATAATTTATGATATAAAAATTTAGGTTGAGACCAATCAATAATCTCTCTCTCTCTCTCTCTCTCTCTCTCGCCTTGTATTTGTGCTGAAGAGCACTGTTATACCATTGATATAGCGTTGGTATTACACATATACAACACAACTTCAGACATACTGTTTGGATCTAATACTCAATACTATATACAATAATTGATGTTCTCCTCATTTTTTATTCACTCCTTAGCCTCTCTCTCTCTCTCTCTCTCTCTCTCTCTCTCTCCAACACTAATCTGACGCATGACTACTATTTTAGTTATGAAAGCAATTTTGATGGATAACTATAACCTTATCATTCAATATATCGATAAATGGCTTCAAATCAAATGCAATCAGCATTTGTAAGATATTTATCTAATTTAAAAAGATTAATTAAATCCATTATTTCGACACAATCTTGTGATTAAAATCGGCTAAACATGTGATACCATTCTCTCATTAATTCTCGGGATTGAAATGTGAATTAACTCTAATTTGACCCCAAATTACAGGCAATCATTTGTCCTAATCATGAGATTCTTATACCAAATATTCTGTTCGTCTCTTCTGTTCACTCAATGCAATGCAATCCTGTATTTAAAAACACTTTTCTCTTCACATATCAAATGCTTCAATAATCTCGAGTCAAATGATTAGGAACTGAGTTTAACCTCAAATAATGTCTCACTTTCTCTCTATAGTGTGTATAAGAATTCACAATAAAATTGAAAGAAAATTGATTTTTTATATAAAACGAATTGAAACAAGAATTTGGGTCACAATCGATAGCATAATAACATTGAATTGATTCAATCAATTAACAAAAATAGACTTTTACTGACTATAAACATATAAATGTCTAGAAATAAGCCATTTTTTCATTAAGTATTCTCTCTCTCTCTCTCTCTCTCTCTCTCTCTGTCTGGTAATAGATATAATATAGGAATCTATATATCATTGGCCGCTCTTTTCATAATTCCAGTCAGTCTTATATACAGTGAATGTATCTGAAGAGCACTGGTATATGACTTAAAAGATATAATGGAGTGGATAGCTATAGAGATGGTGAGCGGACGGGGAGAGCGGGAGAGCGGGGATGACTGGGAGGATAGGGAGGGATCGGTCGTAACATTTTGCTGTTTAGAATGTGTTCGTTGTGTTTATTATTAGAAAGAGTGAGTTCTGTATAAAGAATTGCCATCGAATCCGATCGATACGAGTGTTCAGTACTGTATAATGTGTTAGCACTGCACTCAACGTTCAGGCCTTCCCAACCAATGCGTGCCAATACAGCTCACAGTCTGCAAACTTCACATCATCTCTTCCTCCAGTCTCTCTCTCTCTCTCTCTCTCTCTCTCTCTCTCTCTCTCTCNCTCTCTCTCTCTCTCTCTCTCTCTCTCTCTCCATAGTGTGAGCGCCCGTTCAATACAATCACCTGAATATATGGTTTACCATCAGATATATGTATTAGGGATGAGTTTTCTATCCTATTATTTATACGAATCGTATATTGTTTTCCAAAAAAATCAATATATAATTAGTTATTCTCACATGAATTTAAATCTTGTGAAATATATTTTTTTACCATTTGGTAAATCGCACAGAAATTATTTCTCTAAAACTCTATATATTGATTACTTTGTGCGAAATATGTTTACCAATTGTCTGGCAATCCGTGTTATAAATTAGATGAATGGAAAGAATTAACAAAACAAATATATTTTCACGAATTTTCTGTAATAATCAATACTTTGGTCCCCAATAGAGAGTCAATAGACAGTAAAATTGTTAATCCCAACCGAATTGTGTTTATTGTATAATTTATATTCACAGCATTTTCCATTGCAATCCATGAATGTTATGTTTGATTAACAAAAAACAGCTTACATTATATTCAATGGATATCGTTATCATACAGTGAGCTATAAAATAGAGGAGAGAGAGAGAGAGAGAGAGAGAGAGAGAGAGAGAGAGAGAACTCAATTTTGTGCGGTATATACGTAATAATATCTCAATATTGTAGGTTATTTTAGGGCAGTCTGACTGTCCAACAGTTTATATTCTGGTAAAGTGTCGATCAGACCAGACGTGTGTGTGTTTAGTTTTGAAGCCGTTTTTATGCTATATTTTGTTATAACTTTTGTCAACTCATGCGACAGATGTTAACTAATAATAAATGCAATTCTCAAATATTGATCCAAAATATTTAAATTTCTAGCCTTAAAGTGGTAAAAATACAGCGAAAAAATTGTATTTATAAATCAAACCTTATATTCTTATACAATACATGAGGTATTAGTTATATTTTGTAAAGAAAACACAGAAAAATATAATTTTAATACAAAAGACTCATTCGCTAACAGAAAATGAGACATTACTTTCATTGAGACATAACTTTACACCGAAACTACTGCTAAAAATTTCAAATCAATTTTTCATCTTATTTTTCAATGATATCTCTATACTGTATATAACTTATATATAAAATTTCTTTTTTAGAGTTTTGCGAAGTATTGGCAAAAATGGGCGAATATTCTGAAGCAGTAAACGAAATATCGGCTCAAATCTTAACAACTTTGTCGACAAAAACGTATGTCATATATCTTTTAAGTCATATACCAGTGCTCTTCAGATACATTCACTGTATATAAGACTGACTGGAATTATGAAAAGAGCGGCCAATGATATATAGATTCCTATATTATATCTATTACCAGACAGTGAGACACAGATCACAATCGGGGGCTTAAAATGCGGACTAAATTCAAACACAAAAATGAATAAATAAAATACACTCTCATTTGTTATGTTTTATATTAAACATAATTTTGTAAATATTGTTTTGTTCATAACATAAATAGCTTAACAAATATTTATTTCTATTAATAGTAAATCTTATACATTGACAACAAAACCCGTGCATAATATTTGGTCATTGTTTTGATACTCTTTTGTTAAGTAGATATTTGTGCGATATTTTTAACAATTGTTTGCCATACGCTTTGCTATTGAAAAACATTTTAATTATTAAATTTCATGTTTAAGGCATTATAATTATAAAATAACAATAGCTTTTTATTTCGGGGGAACATAAACACACATTTTTGTATTTATTCTCTCGTATAGTGATTGGCAATGGACTCCCATTTTTGGCACAATTTATACAATAGTTGTCTATTAAAATGAGGTAAGAATTTTTATAACAAAACTTATTTTACAATTTTATAAAATATCATATGAGATATGAAATACCACTGCTATTACATTTGTGTCGCAAACTGTGTCTTGTTTATATATATATTTAGTTTATTATATTGTCACGTATAAAAACTGTCCCATTGAATTTTGTCATCGAAACAATCATTCAAAAGTGGCGCGCATTAATTAATTAAGGGTCTTGCAATAATTAAGTCCTAATTAGTCGTTGTACTCAT